AGTATCATTAATGAAGAGAGATGTTTATTAGGTAAATTGAACAATATGTCATTAATTTGATGATATTTCATAGACTACAAATCAAAAAATAAATATTCAAACATACCAAAAAGCACAAATTTATAGTTTTATAACATACAAATTAAAGTTCATATGGAACTTAATTGCTAATAACTTGATTGAATTTACATATTCAAGATAATTTCGACTATTTTGTTAATAATTGTGCAGATGTATCACCACATCATTTACTACTCCCTCCGTCCCCGAAACTTCGACCCTTTTGGGTTGATTTCGCGGGTATTAAGAAGTTAAATTGGAAGTGTAAGAGTGTATGAGGAAACTAAGAAAAGTACATTGAAAAGGGAAATTTACATTGGAATTGCAAAAAAATAGAGAGAGAAAGTAATAAAAGTATATAGAAAAAGCAAAATTTGCATGGGGAAGCTAATTTTGCACAAATATTATTGCAAATTAAAGGGTATTAAAATGCAAATGGGATGAACATTTTGAGACTAAAATTAGGCCATAAGGGTCGAAGTTTCGGAGACAGAGGGAGTATATCATTTCATTTAATTCACAAGCGATGGAATTTCAACATATTAATCTTTTAAACAAATGCTTTAATACTTCTCTCACCATACATGAAGCTATTTCAAACAATAACACGAAATCAAAGTCACTATAAGTACTAACGATCTTATTGAGTTAGAATAAAGTGTTACATGGTTTATTTTAGAAATTTGAGGGTTTAACTCAAATAATTGAGAGTTTAAATCTAATCACTATGGGTTACGCACAATCAAATCACTATGTGCTTTTGACAACTTTCTTGAATCATAAAATGTTTTCAAAAAAGTATCATTTTTGCAAACGATAAAAACTTTCGGTTAATGTAGTTTTATTTTTTGTTACTCCCTCCGTCCCTTTATTCAAAGCCTACTTCTAATATTTATTATTACTCACATAATAAAGAGAAATAAACTTCTAATTTAGGGACGGAGGGAGTACTAATTTATGTGGACAATTATAAAATTCATACTAAGGGCAGTGGGAAAAAATATTGACATTAAAGGTTTAGGTTTAGGTTCAAACCCAATACCGAATTGGCAAAGTAACAATTTTATCAGTAGTCTAATAAGTAATCAAGAGTGCGGAATATTCACCATGTTATCATTTTGCGAAAACTATTACTTATATATTGTTCATTGCATCGTTGGTTATTGATCTTCTACTTACATATTAAACAGTTTTTGTTACCAATTATTTACTAACAAATTACAATATTGACTTCTTCCACTTTCGACGTTCTATTGCCTGGAATTATATTTCAGCCATTTTTGAAGTTTTTATGTTTCTTGATTCTTCTATATTATTAAGATAATTAATAATGTCATCATTAATTGATGATCTTATATCCCATGAATCTCGAATACTAATAATTAAGATGTTATCTTTCAACACTTTGAAAAAAAAAAAATCTGCATTCAATTTGAAGTATAATGGAGACGATACAAATTGAGGGGGAAAAAAAATTCAAATTAACCTTCAACGTATAATTGTCCATGTTCATTAGCTGGTTTATTAATTTTTTTGGTTTATAAAATTCATTGAATCATATGAATGAAGATTATTTTTTCTTACCTTTGCAAAAAAATTTTTAAAAAAAAAAAAATGAATGAAGATTATGAAACCCAGTATTTTGAAAAAAAAGAATAAGAAATCCAAACATTTGAAAAATTGAAGATCAATTAATTTGTAGAATATGAAGCCCATACATAATTGAAGTCGACATCAAGAAGGTGATGAGTTCTTGCAGGAAAAAAAAGGTTTCAATAGAGAAAGCTGAACATCAACGCAAAAGTTGAACAACCCAAATTAAATGAAAAAATTAACAGCAAAATATTTTTTTTTTTTTTTTTTTGGTAAAAAATTTTGGTACATTAAACATATAGGATATGACATGTTTATTTGAAATTCAAATTTTAATGTTTAAGAAATTCATTTGAATTCAAATGAATTATGAATATAAGTGGAAAATAAGGCCCAATTTATTGCCCAATTTATGAGTGTCATGTCAAGTTGTATGTGGGGCTCACATACAACAGTTGTATACTTGTATGTGTAGCCTTTTATATATTATACGCAATCCTAAGTATCATCGATAGATACATTTTCGAGAATATCAAGCAATGTTTGATCTAGTGGAAAGGTTAGCATTTTACATTTGGTTGTGAGATCAAATTACATTAGAGGGTCACTTTGAGGTGAGAATACCAATACCTTCCCACCCTCCCCAATCCTCACCAACCCTAATAACACTTCTAATGGGCCTTGCCCGCTAATTTTGATCGAATTGATTTGTAAGAGGTAAGGACTCCTTACCTACCCAAAAAAAATATTTTTAGAGCATTATCAATTTCGAAAATTACGACAAACTCACACACCAATTAGGATTATTATTACACTGTTATCGATATGAATATGTAATGCTCAAGACAATATAACAATTTTATGTTACATAGAATTAAAAAAAAAAAACAAAAAAAAAAAAGTACTAGCTAGCAAAATTTATATGAAGATATCAGTAACAATCTATAGTCACACCTAAGCAGCTTTAAAAATGCATGTCTTTATGTCAGAAATGCATGAGGATAAGCTAATTGAATCTGAGGGTGAGTGTCTGAATTGAGAGCAGCTGCATAATTTCATACGTCAGACATGCATATCAAGTTGTGGTTGTAAGTTTGTAACCTAAAGAGGTAAAAGAGATATGCCCTAATTGTACCTTTGGTAATTTGGATGTGCTCTAAATGTTATGCATGAATAGTTAAATACATATATGTAATGAGAATAACAGCTGTTGAATTGACTACCTTAATATTTTGATGATTGACTTACATAAAACAAACTCTGACTAATGATGTTTATGAGTCTTGGTTGAACAGAAAGATTCAGGTACAAAAGTACATGTTCCGGAGTAGGAACAAAAGAGTTTGGAAGACTTGACGAAAAATGCAAGCTTTCAAGATATCCTCGTAAACTCCATATACTTAGTATATTCTTGTACGTACTTAAGAAGCCTAAGTGTTGAAAGGAATTAATAGAGAAACTCGAAGTTCCTGAAGGAACCTGGAGTTCCCGAAGGAACTTGACGGATGACTTAGAAAAGTTTTTAAACGACAATTTTAAAACAGTTTTCAAAATCCTTAATTTAAGGAATAGATAAAATCAGTTGGAAAAGATTGAGATAAAATCAGTTTGAGAAGATTTATTTTATAAATAAATAAAACCTAAATAATTCTTTAATTTAAAAGATAAGTTTATTTCAAATTAATTAATTATCTAATTATTTTTTAAATAAATATTCATCTTTTTTAATAAATATTCTTTTAAACTGTTTTTGACTTGGTAAAATTCTGTTTGCTTAAATCAAGGATGCACGTTGAACTTGGGAGACAAGTTAGTGAAATCATGATCCTTAACTTCCTCAACTTACATCCTAACTTCCCAGTTAAGGTGAACGTGGGATTGAGGGGGAAGTGGGAACATGATTGAGGCTTGGATAATCTCCTTATAAAAAGAGTTTAACGTTGATGTTTGAAGGTGTGGAAAAACAATTTAAGTATTCTGAGCATAAGAGTTTCTAAGTGTTTAAAGAGAAGTTCCTTCCATCCATAAATCTCTTAAGTGCAATAGGGAAATCCTTGTAATTACTTTGTAATTGGGATTGGGGTTTGTGAGAGTTGTAAGTGTGTGGCTTGAGGGAGTTCATCACATTGTACAAGTGATTCAGAGTCGAATCACAGAGAGTGTGAAACTGCGATTGAGGGATCGTAGTAGGGATACTTGAGTTCCTCACGGAACTTGAGTCTAGACAGAATATTAGCGAGTGTATATCATCTTTACATAGTGAAAGTATTCATTGCCTATCTCGAGTGTCTTTTCTCTCTTAGTAGAAAGTTTAATTCCGCAAAATTTTATAAAGTCTACAATTCATCTCCCCTCTTGTAGTAGACGTTGTTCTAACAACAGCTAAGTACTTTCTCCAAGTATAAACATAGAAGGGTAACTTAAAGAGAAAAAACAATGTTTACAGGTTTTCATAGGTAAACGAATAACAGGTAAAGATAGTTGTGGGTTGTGTTGGATCATGCCTCGTACCAAGCTTGCGTATATTGTATTTACCCTTGGCTCATGATCATGTCAGAAACTTAAAGAAAGGTAGCCAAGGAATATCCCAATACCACTTACCATTATGTCATGTTGCCAAATTTTACTTATTTTAATTTACTTTATCAATGTGTTGTATTGTTTCCAAATATTTCACAAATTTGAACTAGGGCTCAATGCCTCAACATGCACAATGAGCCAATGACATTGTCAAGTCATGTCTAACTTAGATAGAGTGCCATATTTTTTAAAGTATGACCATAACCTACCTCAACCAATGCCATTTTTACAATATCCCAACATTTCTACGCAAAAATTTAGCATTTTGAGATCTCTCTGTAAATATTTAATATTATACTCTGAATAAAATAATTACTCCATATTACATAATACTTTCTCTGTTTCTTTTTACTTGCAACACACTTTTTAGGCACGCAGTTTTAGGATATAATTAGTGCATGTAAACAAGCGTTTTATCAAAAAAAATCTAACATGAGGATTAGAGTAGAGTTAGGTATCATGTGTAAAAATTATTTTGAATAACTTGTCCGTTTACATTATATAATCTCGATCTTAAAATGCATGCCACAAGGTTGTGTTGCAACTAATTAAAAACGGAGGAAGTATAATGTATACATAATTGCAACATCTATGAAATTATAGTTAAAAGTCCCTCCATTTCTTTTATATGTCCCTATTTGGACAACGCACATGTGTCAATACCCTTTAGCTAATATTCTTGAAGCAATCATCAATACAGATCAAACAGAACCTAATATCCCTCTAATTATGATTAGTTACAAGATTCGAAACAAGAACATAAAAAAGAAAGAGAAATGAGAGGAGTAAAATTTTAATGGCCCAATGGGCCTCAAAAGGTGAAAGCACAAAAGATCTACAAAGGGAGCTGTAATCTCTAACCACGTGACACATGCTTGTGACATGCTCCTCTACAGTTAATATATTTAATAGTTCAAAATTTTTCTTAAGAATGTTTAAACAGGGGAAGATTGAGCGCAAATCATCAGTAAATTTATACATGCTCCTCTACAATTAATATGCACCTCAGCTCTCAGGTGCATATTTCAAACCACTCTCCCTCCCAATTAAGCAAATCAATCGAGATCGATATCTCTACTAGCAGAGACTGGCTTGCAATAGAGACCATTTTAGGCTTGATTCATGTGGTGGCATATTGAGAAATTAAACCATTACTTTTCTTAGAAAAGGTGACAGCTTTTTTCCAAGCATCTTAAAATCAAGTATACGCTTTTTACCAATGAGCACGACGCCAAGACATATTCAGGATGCCATCCTCTTCTTGTGTCTAATTCAAAATTCTCATGTTAAGAGCTTCAAGGCCTTTAATCAATGACTGGCCACTAAATTATGGATATAAACTACAAAGTCAAGCCTAGACTATCAAACAGCTTTTTCGCCATTATCACCAGCAGAGTACAGAGATGATATGCAATAGGTAAGCTCACCAACAGGCAAAATTTATACAGATTAGCTGCTGTTGCATATTGCTTGGAGCTGTAAACGAGGACTACTCGCTCAAAAAGGACACTGCAATGCATCAGTTATCAGCACCCCAGCCATTTCCACATCTACTTAGAATTAATGTAATCAGAAGAAAAAAGAATCATCAGTTGCTATCTGGCTCACCTGCAGATCTCAGACTCCAACCTCCAGGTCCAGCCTTGCGCTCACCCCGCTTTCTCTTAATCTTAGAAGTCAAACAAGACTTTAATGTTGTTTTTTCCTGAATCACAGCATCTACAGTCCCGGAATCAGGCGCTAATCCATTGCCAGCTCCGAGACTTGAAATATGCTGCTCTTTATTTTCTAGATTATTATACTCGTCTATCGATTGGTCAATAACTCCAGAAGACACGTGCCCATCTTGCATTGCTCTGTTCTGTATATGCGTATCATCCAAAATCTGCTGATCAACAGCAAGAAGTATCAAATTGAAAGATTCGAGATTAAAGTCTGAAACCCAGAAGAGGGGAGGGAGGGGCAAAATAATTGAAGTTTTTTAAGGGAGTATAAAAACTTGAGTCACATACGTGTAGTGTTCTGCAAAATAAACTTTTTACGCACTAGACAAGGTATGAAAGAAACCTTACATTTTCACCTGACTCTAATATCTGTGGCTGCTGATGTATAGTAACATTTGCTGCAGAAAGTAACCCTACTGTGCTTTCTATAATATCAGGAATCTGAGTACCATCTCCATAATCAGAGACCAAACTCTCAGGCAAGTCCAGACCACCAATTTCAAAGTCTGTTATGTCATGAGGGATTTCAATGCCCCCAATAGACAAATTGTCTCCATCGCCAGCGGAGAAAGCAGGGCTTTGTGCAGCACTTGTCTGAGCATCGTAAGGTGCAAGAAGACTTAGGTTTTCTGAAGAGGAGAATTTCACACCATTTTTTAACATCACCGTATCAAAATGGGTTCTAAGCCTCTGAACTTTAGATTGCACTGTTTCAATCTGTCGGAGAATCTGTTCTATGGAATCCTCCCCATCTTTTAACCAATCATCATCCATGCTGAATTCTTCATTCTTAGGACATACATCTGAAAGCAGCATCATAAGAAAGTACAATTATATTTCCTTCCTAAAATAAAACATCAACACAAAATTATACGATGGTTGCTATCAAAAAGATAATCAACGGTAATGTGTAAGCAGAAACTTATTAAAATAAGTTGTTCATTACACATACCAGAAATGTACAATCAAAGTTGCACATTATTCACCAAATACAAGTGAAAAGCCAATTGGAATGTACCAGTGTTAACATATTCGCTATGCCCCTGCAAATTACAAATTCATTTGCCTTTACAGCTTCCTTGGTTACTTAGTGTTAGTCTTTTACTCCTATCAACGTTTTCTAACATGGAAGGTTTGACGCCTAGCTAGATACTTTTGTATTTTCTCTGACCTGAGTTTTACTTGCACTAGGATAGAAATACAGCTATCATCATGACAGAAAATGGACCCTGGGGAAATTCTGCCTTTCACAATTTCAACTCCAGTAGCATAAACAAACTATGAATAGATATCAGGAGAGCCTCACTAGCCACAAACATTAGACTATTCTGCGTGAAAAATAAATAAAAACTTGAGAAGCTTAGAAAGAAAGACAGCACAGCTTGCAAGCCACTCATAGTAATTTTGTATTTACTCCTTGTATTGCATGTAATGAAAGTAATTTTGCTGCCAAGACATGGGGCAAAAAGATGGAACACAAAATTTGCATGTTCATCAAAAGAGGATCATGTGCTGAGAATCACCAAGGCACCAAGTACTACTCACAAAGAAAGGAATATCCACAGCATGACAGCCAAAAGGTTTCCTAACTTGTTACCCACTTTTATAACCCAAAATTAGCAGTACTCCCGCAACAAGGAAGACATGATCTTTAAATTAAGAATCCTTGAACTACCTAGAAATCTAGCACTGAAAACATGAGAAGCCTCAGTCATCTCAGAATGCTGAGAAAAAACATCATGAGTAGGCAGTAGCAGCTTTGTTAAGTAAGCCTGCACACGTATTCTTATTGATTTACCAAATCTATTTCATATTCACATCCATCCTTTCTCACCTCAACTCCCAACTAGCTACAAGGATGAAAAAATGGGTTATATACCTATACCAAGTCTATAACCCTAATGACACATGGCATTCTTTTCATGCAACTACCATATTTTTTCTTTGTTTAATACTCCGTAATTTTTACTCCTCCCCATCTTCTCCTCTTCCTCTTTTCAGTTTCACAACCCCTTCCCCTTCCAATTTCCCTTTAATATATATATATATATACTACGTAATTACTTTATGCTTCCTCCGTTCTTTTTTAGTTGACATGTTTCTTTTATCACATTTGTCAATGCATAAATTCAACCATTAATATCTATAATCATCAAGATGTAAAAATAAGTTTTAAAAGTTGATTTTTGGAAATACACAATAAGTTGATTCGAACAAGATTCTGCATGACTATGTTATTTTTAATCTATAAATCACAAAACCTAGTCAAAGTAAAGTTTGTAAATAGTTTCACTAATAAAGAATTGAGGAAGAATATGTGATCCAAACAATTCATCTGCTCATCATCAATATGTATAGAATATAGATTTTATTCTTCTCTGTTTTTCTAATCACCAACCACACTAGCAACTCTGAAAGTTGAAGAATACTACATTCTTGAATTAAGGATTGCCAAGAAATCTATGCTTCATGGGCACTACAAATAAAGTTGGGTAATTAGGGATAGTTATTTTAGTTCCATTTTCATTAACATTCCCATATCTCATTTTATAATTTAGCTTTACATTGTTCCCACGACTTCCCACCACTATGTAGAAGTCAATCTTAACGAAAATTTATTTATGTGCTTTATTGTATTCTAAAATGATGATATATTATGCTCTTCACTTAATATATTTGGCAAAATGGCAAGTCAACCGATATACTTTTCCGTTAACAATTATTTGCAACGATTTGACATAAAGTAGAGAGGAAAAATGTCTAATCGTTGCAAATAATCGTTGCAAATAACTGTTAACGAAGGTAGTATGTCAGTGAGTAGCAAAGGCCACAAAACTAGCTTCTACAAAATTATTGCCTCCTCAATTGATCAATTCAAGAATTGCAACATGTGTCACGGTTTCCACCATAGTATTGAAGATTTCTACTACCAAAATAAAACACTCAAATGGGGCAAGGAAAAAGGCAAAACTATCTCAAAATAAGCAAGACATAAGTCATGCAAGCACACAAAAAAGACAGCTCATATAAATGTAAACCTGCAAATACATCATGCCAGAATTAATTTTTTTATTATACTTCCTCACTAAACCTTTTAACTTGCAACACTTCTCATTTCATGCTTGCACTGCATTACCTCAATCACAAACATCTTTAATTACAAGTAAAATTTATAAAATTTGATATTTTGTTTAGAATAATTCATGGCAAATCTAACCATATTCCACATGACCATGTTTCCTTTAATATATATTATAATTGTCAAAGCTAGTCAAAGTAGAGTATGTAAATAATGCATAAGTCAAAGTGATACAAGTAAAAATAAAAGGAGAAACATTAATTCAACTCTCGAGTAATTAAGTTTTCACATAAAATTCCCTTGTTTTTATTCTCTCTTAAAAGTAAATACTTTTCAATGCTATTGTAATACAAGTTGCCGTATCTTTTATTTTAAAATAAAAATTATGAGATTAGTCATAACTTAAATAAGGCTTGTTATAAAGCAGTGGAGCAAAAGAGTGTTTAAGGCTTTGGTTCAATCCTTATAACTTTGAAGCTGACTTGCTACACTAAGTTTTCTGGTCCTCCTGTTCACTTATGCTCCAATTTGCTTAAGCCATGAAAAAAAATCTAGGATAAAACTGACTTGGAGAGTTCTAAATTGGCCACACACAGTTTTAAAGTTTTTACTCCGCTAACAATCATAACCTAAGCACATATTAGATATTATTACTATATGCCTTTTTGCCTATAAAAATTTATACTAGCATTAAGATCTTGAATCTTTGATATGAGTATAAGATCCAAGCCATTTGTAATATGTAGAACTAAGAGCCCCCATCCCGACGGATGGAGGCATTGAGCAGCATGATGCGTTGTTAATTTACCCAGAAAAACAAAAATTGAGAATCATGCTTGGGTTGGATCCATCCGTCCAACCATATAAAAAATATATGAAAAAATGAAAAATCTCATGCTTGGGTTTCAGACATTGTGGGTGTCTGAAAGTCTGAAATAAACCAAAAAAAATACCTAGTAACCAACCTGAACAAACAAAACAGCTTCTTCACTCTGTGGAGAATCATGTATACTTCCTAACTCCTTTACCCCAAATATACACTCGCAAGCACAAACTTGAGCAAAGCATTCTAGCAAGGATTTCCGTTCACCTACTATTAAATAAAATCACTGAGAAGTAAAACACCTAACCAACAAATTGAAACTTGTCCTGTTGTTGATGCTTATTTGACAATAACACCCTAGCCATAATCATCTATAATCATGGCTCTTGACGCTGCAACATTTGTTTGTATAGCGTAACAATTTAACAGAAAATTTATTTTGGTAAGGAAGATCATTAACAGAAAATACCTAATGTACTTGATTACTTATAAAACCTTTCTCCCTAAAGAAGGAACGAGAAGCACAAAAGGGTGGTAAGGCCACAACATAGTTCTTACATCTTAATTGTATTAACATAGATTGATTTCAAATATTTAAACAATAAGAATGACATTGCTGATTAGTCAATAAAAAACGATAATCTTCCAGATAGATTCAACAATATGAAAAAAAACTTGAGAATATCCAGATAAAAGTAATCTTCCTCATAATGAGCATATACCCCTGAATAGACTTCTTTACTCAGATAGCGACTTGAATTTTATATTCTTTGAATTTTAACCAGACAAATTAAAGTTATGCTAGCTCATGATAAGTTAGAATTGGAGAAACAGCATAATGTCAAATCTTGATGGCACTCACATCTTTACTGAAATAGAAATTCTTACCTAGATTAACATCGTCGTCAGCAGCTGATATACCATCTTGATCAGACTTCTTATTTTCTGCATTAGACCAAATACTATCATGATAAATAAAGGGTGCTCACCGAGCGATCGTGTGGAATTATATCTTTAAAATTGTATACATAATATGATAATACTACTACAACCACAAGAGAAAATGTATACCTAAATATGAGAAAAGCTGGTGATGAGACATATAAGATGAGATATCAGTCACATTCTCCACAAGTTTCCGTTTTCTTCTTTTCATGGGTTTCTTCTTGTCTGAATGGTTGAAAAATGGAAACGATCTTGAACAAAAGTCTGATGTATATTGATGAAGTTCCAACATTTTTGTTTGTTCATTTGCTTCTAGCTCACGGGAGTATTTTAAGGCTTGAGACTCCAACTCTTTTATCCTTAGTTCGGCCCATTTGCACCTCCACATAATTGGGCGTACAAAATTCCTCCAATGAAGTGTCAACTTTCTTTTCCTGAAATGTTGTAGCAAAAGAAATCTATGTTACCGGGACTTTTCATTTCACCTTAAGTACCATTGTTGGATCTATGACTCCTAGACTTGGTTAGGATACTTGGAAACTTCAATTTGGACCAAGATTATGAAATCACAAAACAGCTAAAGAAAGACACTTGGACAATTTGGACCAAGATTATTTGAATAAAATGAAATTAAAGTCAATCATCTTGATGCTTCTTGCAAGATAACTTTAGTTTCCTTCATTCTATTCAAATTGCAACATTTGAAGTTTCACATGTGCCAATGCATTAAAAATTAGAAAGTTAATATTGAGACAAATCTAACAAGATGAAGTTTTTTATTACTACAAATACAAAAGATGGTGAAGATGGCCAAAGGAAAGTGATTGATTAGCATTATAGTCCAGAAGTTGCAATAAAAAAAGGAACAAGTGAAGTACAATATGAAGTATAAGAAAACATTACTAGAAAAGTAAAGTTGTTGTTCAACAAATCCAAGAAAAACCAACCTCATGGGGAAAACATTAGTATAACTGTCCAATGTATCAGCGAAACCAGTATCAACACGAAACTCCGACTCCACCTCAGCATCACTAGTTCCCGAAACATTGTCACTTCTCGAAGTAGTATCACCAAAAGAACTAGAATTCTCAGTAGCATCAGGATCCTCACTATCAGGCAGCCTGACGGCGGCATTCGAGTTCATAGGTTCAGTAATATCGGCATAAACTTCGCCACGACTAGTTTGCGGATTCTCAAGTTTCCCATCCAAAAAAGCCTCCATTTCACGCAGAGTATCCTCATAGCTCATACACCTCAAACTCTTACTCGGCATCCTCACAAAACCCCTCGATTTCTCCCGAGCTAGGACACTCATTATGATTATGATTCTTACAATAATTGCATCACTTTCTACCCCAAAATCACAACAATTATAAACAAAACACCCAAAAAATCCGAAATTCTTGAATCAAACTTGCATGTTTTGGTGTTCCAATTCAACAAGATCACAAACCTAAATACAAAATACAATCACAATTTCAATTTCAATTCCAGTTCAACGATACAAAAACAACAAAAGCAAGTAACAACAATCAAACAACAAACAATCACAAAATTAAAACAATTAAGATGAAAATTGACAAGAATGAAATTCAAAATTTAACAGGGGAGAAAGAGAGAGAGAAGATTGAATTGTAGCATGATTAACAATGGCGGCGAAGAAGAGAAGATAGAGGTAAGAGAGAGAAAGAAGAGAGAGAAAGAGGAGAGAGATTACCAGAGAAAAATGGTGGAGACTGTGAGAGTGTTCGCACGGCGGCTACAAGCGAGGGAAGAAGAAAGAGAGAAAAGTGAGGAAAATTCATTCGCAATATATAAATGAGGGAAAGTGAACGTTAAATCAAAGGATACTCTAGTCTTCTTTCTTTATTGTATAAAAAAAACCTAAAATAACATTAGGAGTCTAGGAATACTCCTGCTTAATTCTTCTTCTAGTACGAGGAGTCGAGTTGAGCGGTGGAAGGTTACGACTGGGCATGAAGCTAATCGAGTTGTTGATTGGTTAGATAGATTTGGTGTTTGCTCGAACGTAAGACCTGGTCATCATTTCAGCGTTCTTAAAGAGCTTAGAGTTATTATTTGTTTAGTTTATGGTCTCACGGTCACCAATGAGTTCAATCTCTATTATTATAACATTCACTAAATGATGTACTTTCATTTTTTAACAATTGCAAGTTGCAAAATAATTTCTTGGTGCGCTATTTGAGGATGTGAATTAAGCTATAAATGATATACTTTCAAAATGTAAACGGACAAATTAAGCCATAAAATTTCACTGTAACTACTTAACATTTTTTTTCTTCTTGGCGGTAAAATTATTTCAATTAATTTGTTTGTATACCTAATCTAATATATTCCTTAAGTGTGTGTCAAAAATGGTTTATTGCATGTAAATAAAAACGAAATAAAAATATATTGCAATCACATCCACTCTTTTTTTTTTTTGGCTTTGTCTAGCTTTGAAACCTTGAAACAATTTGTTAATGGCTTAAAAGTACATATTTCCATTGATTAATCTTTAAGGGTAATTGTCACACTCAATAATTGTTTATCCTAACATTGATATATTTAATCTTTTCTACTTTTTTTACAAGTGACTTGCAAGAAGAGATAGTTTTCATTGTCATTGTCTTGGCCAAAACTAGGGTTTTTCACTTTGTTTTCCAATAAAAAAGGTGTCTTCCAACTAACTATTAAGGAGTAATTCTTTCTTTAGGTAGATTATTATATTTTAACCTAGAGTAATTTGCCTCTTCTTTCTACGCTATGGTTTACCAATTTTTGAATATGCAATAAAATGATTTAATTGTATCAATTCTCTAAATCAAGATTGTGTAAGTCATGATCTTTAATTTTGATTCAAACTAACACTCTATCTATCAATTCCAATTCTCAATAATGATGTTGAATATTTAGGTTTTGGGGTCTAACCTTAATTTTAAATTTATCTTTTTAAATATAAACTAGAAGCTATGTCTTGATGTGCCTTCTTTCTAGCCACCGTCGAGAAGTTACCTTTTTATTTTTTTAAAAAAAAATTTACATGCTTATTTACCGTTTTTCGGAACAATTTTCCTAAATAATACTTAAATATGTCAAAATTCTTTACATATATCCATTTTACAAAGAAAATCCTCATATACTGTCCATGTCACAAAATCGACTATTTTTTTTTAATGGCTCGACAATAAACTTTAAATTAATGGATAATTCATTGATTCAATTGGCAATTCATTATGCCATAAACCACTATATCATCAATTAGCTAATTTGTGCTCAATCAATCACCAAAAATTATTTTCTTTCTAAAGAAAATGCTTATGTGGATAATACATGGAATATTTTGAAGAATCTAGCACAATTGAGGAAATTTTTTGAAGTTTTAAAGCATTATCCAAGGAAATCGTTCGATAATGCAGACAAATCACATAACCTATGATTTTGAATATCCCCGTTCTTTTAAGTCCGGTCCCTTTAACATCTCTTCATCTCCTCCAGTCTTTCTTTGGGAACACCTACTAATTGACCACATCCCATCTCTTCATTTCCTCAATATCATCTCTAATCATAAAATTGAGTACCAAATATCCCAATTCCTAAATTTTCAAAGATTTGATCAAAAAACCCTAATTTTTCAATCTTTTTATCACTTTGATTGCATATACCATGGCAACAAGAGGCGGTGCTGTCCCCTTCAGATCAAGGTAATTATGATCATTCATTCAATTTCAACATTATCTAGGTTTTTAATCGAATTACTTTCTATTGATTGAATTTCTAATTTGGGCTTCTTTTTTTTTTTTTTTTTTTTTTTGGGTGTGCAGTGATGGGTTGAGTACTCGGCAAGTGGGTAATTCAGATGAAGTACAAGTGCGAATTGTTGATCCAATGCATGCTGACCTTGATGATGAAATTACAGGGCTTAGATCTCAAGTTCACAAGCTCAGACATGTAATTCAGCTTTTTCATTCTTTCTTTTTTTAAGGTTTCATATTTGATAATTTTAAGTTCTTGAATTTTGATTTTGTCAATGCTGAATTTCGCAGTTTTAAATGTAATCTTAATATGGAAGTTGAGAAATTTATAGGGTTACTAGCTGGGATTAGTATAAGAAGCTAAATGATACTGATGGACGCGTGATTTTGTCATGATTAATTTGCGTAACATTTTGGGAAAGATATTTAGTTCTTAAACTTAACCCTATAGCAAAACCTGAATATATTGAAACTTTGAAAGGAATTTGACATGTAATGTGTATTGATTTTGCCCCATATGAGTGATTGTAAAAGAAAGATGGAATTAATAAAATGTAATTAATGCGTTCCGGTGAGTTTGTTTGAAACTTGCTGGATACCAATATATGGATTTTACAAGAAACATTTTGGCAGGAATTTGCATGTTTTGGGTCATTTTCTGTCAATTTGTTCTGTTCATCGCTTTCTGTTATCTATTCATTTGATTCGTTGTATTGGTCTTTGATGCATGATGTTGATGCAGGTAGCACAAGAGATTAACTCAGAGGCGAAGTTTCAGAGTGATTTTATGGATCAGCTGGTAATGCATCAGCACAATCTTCCAAATCTTAAGCAGTTTACCCTTGATCAAATATTTTGAATTTATTTGTGTTGTGCTGTGATATAACTACTTGTTGGCTCTTTTGGGCACATTACTGATTACTTCCCTAGACATAAACATTAGCATTAGTGTTTTAAGAAATTCTCCTCCTTGAAGGGTTTAAATGCATAACTAGTTTGAGATTACGATTATTAATTGAATATATATTGACATCATATTTCTGGTCTGAGCTGTTTATATTCATCCTTTCTGAGGATGCCATGCTAAATTGTTCATTATTGTATTTGTGTTAAGTTTCAGTAAGGTGTTAATAATGAGCAGTCATTATAAACCTAATAACGTTCCACCTTTTCTCCCTCCCTTTTTCTTGGAACTTCTTGTCTTTACCTGAAATGTCCATCAAGAACGGGATTTCGCTAATGTTGATGTGATCTATTGTTGATACTTGTATATGACTGCTCATTATTAACACCTTGTTTTGGAGCTAATTACTTTTGTACCAATGACTGCTCATAATATTTGACTTTCTTAACAATCATAGAACTGGTGCACCTTTCCGTGTATAGAAATAAACTCATGATACTTTGGATCTGTAAACTTTTGCAATTTATATGCATACGTCATTACGTGATTGCTTTATGTGACTTCTTTCAGCTAAACAAACTGTGCTTCATGAGAAAGGAAGTGGTGAAGTTTGCTATGATTCTTTGTATATTTTGGCTGTTTAGCAGTATGTATTTCCGTGCTTCTTGTGATACGTGTTTTTGTATGGTACAGCAAATGACCCTTATCCAAGTTCAAGCTAGTTTGAAGAACAACATGCGGAGATTAAACAGCAGCATTGTGAAAAGTGGTTCTAACCATGTACTGCACGTTGTTCTTTTTGCATTATTTTGTCTTTTCTTGGTTTACTTCTGGTCCAAATTTTCCCGACGTTGAGCAGCCATGAAGTCTTGCAGACTGCTTAGAGAACTTTCTACTGCACAACTTTCCCAATGGAGAAGATGGAGGTTTTAATTCCGTGCTATACTAGCTGCATATATGTGTTCGGGATTATGTTGCAGATCTGATGATATTGTGTTCAGTTGCTGTAGTGTGTTCAGTTTGTGTAGCAGTTGCTTGATCTTCTTCTGGGGTTGTAATTTATCTCAGTGCTTCTGAGTATCTGGTGTCTAGGCAGGCACTCTATATGGGTTATCTGGTCTGGTCCAGTCCAGTTGCAGTGTTGCACAAAACCATCTGAGTCGTTGCAGTGCTTAATTGCTCATATATTTGGTTTTATTAGCAGCAGTAGTCAGTACTTTCTTCTTGTTTGATACTCTTGTTAAAGCTATGGCCTTCTTGGGTATCTTTTTGAGATGTTTGTGATACAATGGCAACCTTGTAAATATTCATCTTTTTGGTAATGCAATAATATATTCAGTAGCCAAAGATACAAGTGATGTGCCAATTACCAAAATTCAATATATTGTGAGGCAAACCCACGTGTGGTTATGTAAATTTAAGTATGGTATGCTTTGTAAAATTTTAAGGCTTCTAAAGGGAGATTAGTGATGTATGAATAAATACATAACAAGGGACATGAGAGTCTTTTCACGTGGAATTTGAAAAATCCTAATCAACACTCCCGTTTTGCTTTTAATTTTTTTTTTTTTTAATTTTATTCTATAAAGATTGTAGAATAACTAAATCAAATTTGTTGTTTTATTCTAATTTTGATTTTAAGGCTCTTAATTCATTAAGAGAAATCGAGTTGTAAAATATTGAGTATCTACAAAAATAGGTGTTATGAAGTGATGCTTCCTCAGATATCCGGGAAACGATGTTGGGTCTGATGAACAAATTCAGTTATTTATAATCCTATTACGTTACTAAGCTCATCTAAGTCTCTCACCCTTGCCATATCACCCACTAACTAACGATGTTGGTTCTGACTAAGTTGTTTTAATTACAATTGATATTATTTTGTTTGTCTTGTATAATTGTATTCTAGTACCTTTAAGTCTAGTATGTTTAGTTTTCGTAATCGGAAAGAGCAAGAATTAGTGATAATTTGTTTAAGTGATATCCTTGAATTAATTAGTACTCTTAATTCATGTACCACTCTGTTAGTATTTACTATTTATTACGAACTAGTAATGTGATTATATCCACTTTCACAATAAATATGACTTTAGTCAATAATTAAAATTGTACAATCTTCCCTTCGATTAGACTACATCACATAGTATGATGACTTACATAAATCTTGCGCATATTAATTGTTATTAGGAATAACATATATGGAGTATATATATATACTTCTTCTGTTATTGAATTATATCCATTAATCTTATATGTGAATGATTGTTGAAAGACTTATATAAAATCTAAATCCCACACAAATTAGACCACTTAGTTTATTAAATATTGTTAGTAACACTACAAAGGCTCAATAGTTGGATTGTTTAAAGTTAAAAAGGTTGTTTTGTAAGGCTCGAATTTTGGGATGTTACAATTGGTACTCTAATGTATTTCAATGGAACTCTAAACTAACATATTGTAATTTTCAAGTGCATTTCATTCAGTGGTACCCTAATTACATTTAGTGGTACCCTAATTACATTTAATGGAACCCTAACGTCATTTAACAGTACCCAAATATTATTCAATGGTATAATAGTCATGAAATGGTCGGATCGTTTAATTTATAAGCAAATCATGGTTTTATATAAACTTGGTTTCAATATTAAGCATTTTATATAATCTTAGTTTTTAATTTTAATGGATGCAGTATGGACCCTCTTCATACTCAACATGAAATATTCCACTTGAAAGTGGGGGTAGATGAGATTTGAATCCGTGATCTTTGTATCACTCTGGCTTGGTGGCTCTGATATCATGTTAAAGGGTCACCTCAACCAAAAGCTTAAATTGATGGTTGAAGCCAAATAATATGTTTTATACTAATTAGTTCGTTACATAAGACTTATATAAATCTTAAATCATAATTGATTTTAGGATTGATATACACTGCAGTGGTACCCTAGTGTATTTCAAATATACCCTTGTAACTTTCAATCACAGTACCCTTCAATGGTACCCTAAAAAGGTTTAGTGGTACCCTTGTAGTCTTCAATGCAAACAAAAATTATTGTACAACTAATCATGGTTTCAATTTTAACCATTCAATAGTACTCTTGGTTTTCAATTTTAATGAACTTTCAATCGCACTACAACCTCTTCAGTTGTATCCTTTCATGGTTCATTAGTATTCTAAGGACATTGAGTAGTACTGCCCTTGTACTCTTCAATGCAAACATTTTTTTATTTCACAACTAATCATGTCAATGGATGTATGCACATCAGTGGTACTCTAATTGCATTCATTGCTACCCTAATGTTAATTAATGGAATCATAATATCAATCAGTGGTACACTAGGAGTGGTACTGATATTAATTTCAATGGTACCTTACCCTCCCTCAACGATACCCTTTTATCATTCTCTTGGTATAAATCACAATGGTTTTCTATAGAGAGTGAGGCCAGGGATATCTCATATGGTTAAAGCTTCCCTCCCGATTTTAGGATCGGAGATACTAAGATCGATTCTCATAACTCGTCCTTGTGGCTCTTTAAACACCGAAAATACAATGGTTTTCTATAAATTTTGTTTCAATAGCAATGACTTTCATAATATTGGGTTTTAATTATTGAATAACCATATCTTGATCGTTTTATAAAACCATAACATCTCTTGTTTCAATGTTAACTCAACTCTTACTGTTATAACATATTAGCTTAAATGAACCTATAGAATTCACATTTTAACATTTACCTCTCAAGTTATTACTTCATTCTTCTGTTTCTTTAATTTATACTTGCAACACACATTTTATCACAAGAAAAGTGGATCTCACATGATATAATACACTTTAAATGGGGTTAAGAGGTTGTTAAGAGTATAATCAAGTGGACCATGAGATTTAAATAAAGGTAATAACACACTTTTTACCATAAAAACTTTTTATAGTGTGCTGCAGTTATTATGACATTTCCATTTTAAGAAAGTGTTACAACTATATAACGAAACGAAGGAAGTACTTCTTAATTTCTTATTGAAACAAGCAACTCTTATTAAGTTGTCTGTGGTTAATGTAATTGAAATACAATGCATGGATGTATGTTATTACATAACATATATCGTATTTTTCTTAACGATACGTTGTTGTTACTTAATGGAACAATCTACAATTCAGTGATACAACATTAACTCTAGTAGAAAAATAAATTTTAATTCATATATGTGACCCAACACCTTTTAAATCCATATATACTTTGTATATAAATACTCTGCAACTAGACTATACAACAAATGACATTTCATTTATCAAATTAAACGAAAACCTTATATAATAAACAACATACATCCTCTAATTCATTTATTTATTTTTAAATAGGAATATACATCCTCTAATCTAAAAACATTAAGAAAAAATAAGAGGAAATTTTACAAATTTCACTTCTCTTAGCTTCGAATAAAGCTCCCAAAATTGTAGTAGGCAATCTCCAATGCAAAAGCATGAGAGATTTCTTTTAGTAACAAATGAAAAAACCATGATATTTTTTCAAAGCTCTGGTGATATCATTGATTTTGCATCATACGTAATACTAAAAGTGTTAATAAGAAATTTTTTATACATTACTATTGATGCTATGCCTAAAAAAAACTTACCAAAAAATTAAAGAAGAGAAATTATAGACAAACTCAATTACATTATATTAAATAAAGTGTTGATTGCGGCTAAAAAATTAAGCTTTAAATTAAATCCCTATAGAACAATAACTAATTAAATAGACATTCATTTAACAAAAATAAAGCTACTTGAATTGAGGAGATAGATTGACGAGAGAGGAGTAAATCTTTTTTTTTTTTTTTTTTTTTTTTTTGACAATAGCAGAGAGAGGAGTAAATCAGATTAAGAAAGAAAAGAGAAAAGATTAAAAAAAAAAATCATTTTCAGATTTTTTTTCACCTAATGGGCCTCACTGTTTTCCCATTTGTTTTTTTTTTAATTCAGTTGTGGGTTCCACACTGTCACCAAATTTTACTGTACAATTCTAGTTTTCCCTCCAATTCCTCATCCCGTTACACCAAAAGTTGCATTTTATTTACAATAATGCCATGTTATATATTTGGCCATACATCACAGACCTTGATTAATACTTCCTCATCTTTTGTTGTAGTTAACATCAAGTGCTTACTATTAGTGTTATATATATATATATATATATTGTTTGACAATATATTTCACGATAAAATTTGTTTTAGAAGTGGAAGTCAAATATCTACATTAGGTGCTTGCTATTATTTGACATATATTTCATGATAAAATATGTTTTTAATGCATTATTAAAAAAAAAAAAAAAACTATGGTCAACGTTAGTATATAAATAGTGAAAAAAGTCAAACGAGTTAATTATTAAGGGATGGTGGGAGTAACTATTAAGATAATTTGGGTCAATACCATTTAAGTGATTTCACCATGTTATCAGTCAATATGAGTCTAAATCAATGTCCATGTGACATGTGCTTTACCTAGTGGTTATCAAATACAAGTAATTTTCTTAAGTCAACAACTAGTCAACTACAACTACTTTGTAATATTTTGGTGCAGACAATGACTAATTACACGTTTAGTTCATAACATAATCTTTTCTTAGATACATCTATTTGTTCCAATGTAGTTCACGCATTTTATATTTGGACCCGAGCAATATCCCAAGTTATTACATACTCTTCAATTTTTTATTATCATTTGTTACATTTTTTTTTGCAATAAAAAAAATATAATATGACATAGAATAGCGGATAAGTCTATGGTTATTAATCTTGGGGTCATGGGTTTGAACCTTACATAGGGAGTATGATGTTATTCAAGACAAAATCAATCAAAATTATGTCACCAACATTAGTTTTATAAGACTTTGGTTGCTGGAAAATTATTCACTCCAGACGTTAAGGCCATCGCGGTGACAATAAACATAAACAGAGAGCAGAGATAAACCATCCTACTACTTCCAACAGCACAGTTTCCGATAAGAACTTCAACTACGATTAACATATAAAGACATCAAAGGATTTCAATGTAAAGCAGGTAAATTTTAAGAGAATTTACATCATTTTGGGCTAAACACAACACTACATCTAGTTATCTACTCGTTCATTTGGTTAGAATAATTCAGCTCCAGCCATTCCTTCACTTTCAAACCTTACCTCCATTCTATTCAGCATGCCCACTATTAATCGAAGTTAGTGAAACCTCATGCGTTCCATTCACACATGAAATACTTCTCTGAAAAACATATGCCTTCTTACAATTACTATCTGGCACTGGACTCAACGACCTGCTTACAAGTGTCATTTTTGCCTTCAACCTTCACGACATCCCTGTTTATTGTACATTGAGAATCGCCAATAGCAGTTGTTTGTTTACTAGAACCAACATCTGCACCAGGAGATGTTGCCTGACACTTATCTTTTGGCAAAAATTGGGAAATAGAAGCTCCATCTTCTTGGACTCTAGTCACTGATTTAGCATCCGGTTGTTGAATGCTTGCTGCCGTACAAGTTTTGTTTTCCATTTGTTGAGCAGTACTAATTCGCTCTGTAGTTACGACAGACGTGGCTCTCACTTTTGGAGGTTGAGACACTGGCAATACAGAGGGCCCTGATGCACTAAGTTTGGGCTGTTGAGCTCCTAGAGCATAGAATGCAGTTCCAGAACAAGTTGACGTTGTTGCTAACCCAGTGCAAACAATAGGAGTCTTGACTAGAGGAGGACTTCCCCCTCTAATGCGCACTACGTTTTTCGATTGTGCAGCCTTAAATAGAGACGCAGCATCCAAAGGACTACCAATGCGGGCTCCTGCAGCTTTTGCAGTAGCTTGAATAGAATCTGCACTGACAGTGGATTGTTGTGGAGGCTTTCTTTTAGGACAAAGCTTCGTCGAAGAGCCCATTGCTGTAGATTTCACAGATGATGCTGCACAAGGTTGCGGTGGGGATGGTGGCACAGTAACTTTCGTGACTGGCAAGTTCCTTTTGGATGCATTTATTTTAGCTGCATTATTACAATCATCATGTCCGTTACCAACTACAAAATGATAAAAGCCGTCAGCAAGATATGAACAGCAGAGCCATACATCTACTATGTAAAGTTACAAAGACAAGGCTACAAGAAAAGAAGGTAATAGGTGCACAGAAAGACTAGTTTTAAAATTTTACAATAATTTTGTTTGAGGCATAAAGAATGCCATGTGAGAATAGATGGAGCTGGTCTATCTTCTGGTAAAAATAACCTATTAATTTGCAGTTGGTGCACCAGATATGACAGTTCAAAACCCATAATAAAGCAAACTAATTTCCTTGTCTTCGATCCTTTAAATCCATTGTCTAAAGCGTTGACAAACTAATACTCAAGCATCCCAATCCCACTGCCCCATCTCCCCAGCAAATATTAAGGAAGACCAAACAGAGAAACAAGGAAGATTAATCTCAACAAAATTTAACTGAAAAGTGAATGACAAAGAAAAAATAAAATTGGTCTTTGGTGATTAACAACCTGAAATGCAGATTAATATCTCTCATTGTTAAAATATACAAAGTAATTTGTACCTTATTTGTTCTCTTCTCCTCTTAGTTGTTCTGTAAGTCTAGATTGCTTTCTACTATATTTCCAAACATCAACAAGCATCTAGTTATCTACAATTTGTTACATCTCTTCACAACATTGTTAATTATCATACATTTTTTTTTTCTTGCTATCTTCTTCTGCTATTCCAGTTATCAAACCACAGAAATAAGATCTCCAATGCTCAGTTGTCAGTCCATTATCGTGAAACAAAAACAAAAACAACAAGCACTCATACACAAAAATGCTACCCGTTACTACATGGAAGATCGAGAAAATGAAATCACCTAAGCTTGGATTTAGAATAACATAAAAAAGAAATAGAAAGGGGGAAAAAAAGTGGAGCGCATAATTTGATCTTTTCATATGTTTCAAGCAAAAAAATATAAAACCCCTTCACTTAAACACTTTACATCATTGATCAATCCCTTGGGGAGCAGGTAATCAGCATTGGAATTGAGCATGCTTAGCCAGGGTCAAAACATAAAAGGAACCTGTGAATTCAATGCCTATAAACTTGATGTAAAGAGTTATTTACCTGCAGGGCCAACAATAATTTCTTAAACAATGCTGCACAAAACAGCAATTTTCCATTTCCGAATGAAAAGTAAAAGATAAGCCTGGGAAAAGGTTTCATAAAATGTTCAAGTATATTTGATGGGGAGAAAGAAGAATCGATTCAACGAAAATACAGAAGTAAAGCGAAAAATAAGAAAGATGGCCAAACCTAGTGAAAAAGGAGACTTATATATAAGATATCAGTATGATTGCTGAAAATCTTATGTGTACATAATGTCAAGGCTTATAAACACGGGAAAATGATAAAGAGATAACTACAATAGTCCAAGGAAATCACTGGAAAATACATGATTCCCAAGCATCAAGCAAGTAAGATCTATATACTACAGCAAATATAATGCAAAAACGAGAACATACCAGTGGCAGCACCTGATGCTGGGCTATCCTTCAAAGCCATGTTAAGTGCATAACGAGTAGCCCTCTGTGCATCAGAAAGTTTTGAGTCTGCTGTGTTGGCTCCGTCAATATTCAAGCTCCCCTGTTTCTTCCTATTAGTATTTGCCCTCTGTATAAGCAAAAAAAATCAGCAATATAATTCTTGAAGCAGATATGTGCTTTATTTTTTAGGCAAGGAGTGGGTAAGAACACAAATTAAAAGCTAGTCAGCATTGCATCACCTAATCTACACACAAAGCAAACTTTGAGATCAAAATCAGATTTCAGTGACAATGTGAACCTCCGTTGCCGGGATTTGAACCCGGGAAACCTGGAATATACCCAGACATCATAACCGGACTAGATGACAACGGATCACAAAAGAAGTTGTTTGAGGCATTTCAGTACAAGTTAAGCAACGGAATCCATGCCAGTATTTAGCAAGGTTATCAACAGCTAACAAGAAACATAATATTTGCTAAGCTCCAATGAAAAACACTATTCTACTTTCCGTTTCATCACCTACTGGCTCCTTGGTGGCAATATAATTACCTCTTCTTCCCTCCTACCATCCCTATGTACTAAATTAGATATGTCATTCAGATTCAGTCTTTGATTAACTCCAGATCTATTGTCAGTGAAATAGCCATAAAAAGTCCAAGCCAGGGTAAAGATAAGGAAGAAAATGTTATTCTTTATCCAAAAGATGTTTATGCTCAAAACTACTGGGTTACATGCTATCAGTCCCACACTCCCACTGAAGAAACCTCACACGGTGCTACATATAGGTTCCATATTGCAAAGTACACTTATATCTAAACTGCATTAAAATGACTATGTCATTCTTTTTAAATAAAAAGGGAATAATTTTGCAACTTAGGGCTAATAGTAAAAAAAAAAAATGTAAAAAAAAAAAAATTGTAAATTGCATTATTAATTCATTACTATCAACACAAGGAAAAAAAATTTTAAACATTGCTAACATGATTTTGAAAAATATATAGACAAACAGGAGGGTGAAGTGAGTAGAAACCTGGGTTCGCTGTGCAGTATTACTCTCTCCCTTGAGTTCTCCTTTCTTAACAGAAGCAATTAGTACTATGTCTTCCTCCTCTGGGCATGGTTTTCTTTTCTTTTGATTGTTACATGTCAATCCATTTGCATTTAATCCTTCACCAATGATCCCAGCAGCTGGTGAAATTTTCCGAACTTGTGGATTTTCTATAGAAACCCTAGCCACCTCAATATTTGAGCTGTTGGACATACGAGACTTGTTGGCTGAGCCAGAGGTGAGAGCCTAAATCAAAAAGTAATCAGCATAAAAAAGGGGCTATACGAAAATAACTTGTGCATATGTATGGAAGTAGCATTACTAATAATGCCAAGCACAACTATTACATCAACACCTGATAATGGAGTGAATGAAATAGTATTAATACATGAACAAGTTAAAGCCTTGAAGAAATTAAGAACAGCATAGACTACAACAAGTGGGTAGTGCTGATTAAAATACACTTTTTTACATAACAACTAGACAAGGTGATAGTCACCACTTAACACTAGGAAGGGAAATTTTGATAAGTGGCAACACATTCTCAAACTGAGTCCACCTAGAGAGAGTGACTTTAAGATTTACTGTATATTTTCTTACAAAGAGCAACATGAAAACATAAAGCCATCATTTATTATGAGATAACTTTCACAAAACCGGTGCAAACTCTCATCTTGAAACACAGCCATAAAAATATAATAGAGTGAAAAGAAAGATATCTCCTTTTATCAGCTTGACACTCAGATATAGTCAACATAGGTAGTTATCTTAGGCATTCAGGCCGTGCCCTTTGGGAGAGGCGCCCAAACCAGTGTGTATTTCTGTAAATAGGCGAATTATAACATAATCCAATCAGTAATACTGTATAAAAATGATGCATGTCGAACCTTAACACAGTTAGAAGCCTCTGTAGCATCTGTAGTGCTGACAGGGGGACAAGCCTCCACTTCATATTCCAGGTCACTATCATCATCCTGCATGCAAGTTGCATCCACATTAAGCTATGCAAATTTTCATCTAAAAAGATTTAGTAGATACTTGTACATTTCCTGTACTATAAGCGCATGCCATGTCATGCATCACTTTATCCCATTTATAGATTTCTTCTTTTCGTTACAACAAATTTGCTGGAGATCTCGTGGCTGACACAAGGACTTCTTTTTCGTTGTTAAACAAATACACAGAATATGTACTTGTATGATACAAAATAATTTCTGGTACAAAAAAGTCATTATACCAAATCATTGAATTTTTCAAAAATAAGTGGATAAAACAACACCTATGGCTCTATGAGCATCCTCTATTATGATACAAAACAATCTCTGGTATAGTGGTACAAAAAAGTCATTATACCAAATCAGTGAATATTTTCAAAACCAAGTGGATGAAACAGCACATATGAGCATCCTCTATTAGAGGTTTTTTTTTTAAAAAAATAAAAATAAAAATTGCAACAACACATTAAGGAAACCTGGCCTTTTTTTTGGTAGGTTGTGTTATTTATTTCTTTCCCCATCGGACAAAAATGTTCTACCATTAATTTATACAAGGTACACAGTGATCTAAAATGTTAAATCTTAAAAGATACCTTCAAAATTCTAAACATTGGCCAAAGTTGTGCCTCAAAGACCATAATATATCAGAAGATACCATCCTTTTCACATGGAAGGCATAAACATCACACGGGAGGGAACACAATTCAAGACCGGCGACTTGGCGGTGCACATAAAAAGAAACAGACCAGCAAACTTTCAAGGGCATTGTGTGTTCAAGTCAAGCCAATTGCTTAATTTACCCCATTGAGGTAGATTATCTCTTATATAAATATGCAACCTTATTGCAAATGGCCGACATCTCCTCAAGGGCAATTTGGTTGTTAATAAGCTAAGGTGCTAATGGCAATGATTTTTATAAGTAACTTTGTGAAAAATATTTCATGCCAATATCCCCATGGTAATGCTAGTTCTTCCCCCAAATACTTCGTTTTCTTCACAAATTCCATTACCATCAATTACCATTGAAAAAGTGGTATAGAGATGATAATGAAAATTTGTGAAAAAAACATGTTTGTAGGTGGAGTTCCATTGACACAATAATGACCACAACATTTCCTTGCTATATTACTTACAAATCCCATTATTATTTCCACAATTTATGATCTCTTGACATCATTGTCTTTCCCATACACCTAATTACTACTCTAAACAAGGAAAATCAAGTCTACAAGATCAAAAACTCATACAATTTAGGACCATAATTCCACAAATTTAATCAAACTCTTCTTTTCATATACATAATTGATCGATCTCTCAATATATGTTCAATCAAAGAAAAACCGGAGCTAGTCTCATACCCCAATTACAATGACTCACAAATAAACACCACTTCATCTCCGTCAACAAAAATTAAAAACATAACACATTCCCACTTTAAGCTCAAAACGCACACTTAAAGGCCAAAACAACCAAGAATTAGAGACAAATAAATCAATCAAATTCGGAACAAACCAAAGGCGGTTCTTCCGGGCAAACATTCTCAATCAAGGGTTGACGATACGCCAAATGACGCCACAACATCTGATACTCTCTGGCACTCTTAATCCCGGTCTCCGTTTTCGCCATTAACGCCTGCCAATCAATCTTTACATCAACAACTTGCGCCATTTCCTTTAATAGCGCCAATAATGTACCCGCCGAGTACCTAATTAACACCATAATCAACAAATTGTGATTAAAATCACACAATTTCACACCATAATCAACAAAATTACATCACTGTCACACAAATTCACACCATAATCAACCAAATTACATCATTATCACACAACTTTAAACCGCAATCAACAAATTGAAACTATTCTAACACAAATTTCACAAAAAGATGAACAAAAACTATACCTCTGCAAGAGATTGCAAACATCTTCTTCAGTAATTGCGCCTTTTAGCTGCTTCGTCTGTAATTTATCAACCATGACTTGAAATTAGGTCAGAAACACGCGAAAAACGTGAATGTGAGAAGGAAGGTTAAGAATTGAGAGCAGAAATTAGGAAGATGGTAAATAAAACCCTAGAGTGAAGATTTGGGAAGAAAAGTGGTTGACAATGGCGGAATTTGTTGTGGAGAGATAGTGAAGAGTGGTGGAGAGAGAGAGAAAAGGAAGAGGGGAAAGTGTGTCTGATTGATGGTGACTGCGCGCTGTATAACAGAAATACACTGTACTACTGTAGACTTTTCTGTAGTTCATCTTCTCCATCCCTAATTATTTATTTATTTTTTTTATAATTTTCGGTGAGAAAAAACAAAAAAGACATAAAAATAAAAAAAAAAAATCGGGCTGGACCGGCCTATGCCTATAAAATAGTGTCAAGGATTTTCGGCTGATTTAATTAAATGGGTCGACATGACAAGATACGTAATATACATTTATTTAAACAAGTCGTGTTACGGTTGAGATTCTCAACATAATATTAACACGACTTGACCCGAATAAAAAAAAATCAATAAATATATTGAACAAAGTTAATATTTTTTCATATAACACATGAATCGAACACAAAAAAAGTAGGTTAGTATCAAGAGTTTTCGACACGTTTAATTGAATCGGTTAATACGACACAATACATTTATTAGATGAGTTGGGTTAGTACGTGTTGAGGCTCCTCAACCCATTTAATTTCGAATACGAACATGACATAATTGCCAACTCTACTCTTACATGCCAGTCAACCTATTTAGCCTTAAGTAGATTTATCAAAAACCCACCCGACCCGACCTGATCCAATTCAACCCGAAAGTAACACGATCCAGATTTCAACTTGTATGTACATAATGATTTAGCATGACTAAGGAGATGTTCCGATTTACTGAAAACAACTGAACTGAACTGATTGGAACTGATTGAGGCTGAATTGAAGTGAAATAAATTAGCAAAAGAAAAGAATTGAACTAGACTGATTGGAGCTGAACTGAACTGAACTGAAATTAAGCTAAACAGAACATGCATTAAACTTCAAACTAGACCCAACTAGCTAAACTTGACGCTTCCAAACCTGGCCCAAATGATACTCGAATTGACACTTCTAACCTTAAGAGTGGAGGAATGTGGCCATGTTAAACTAACACCTCTTATACATTTACATAAGTCAACACGCTAGAAAATGAATAAAGTCGGAATGATGATCATGTTTAAATGACACCTATTATCAGCTAATTAGTCCAACTATACAAATCAACACTTTAAAGAGAGGGAAAAGGTAAAAAAATCGGCTATTTCACCAAATGCCACTAATAAATTACGAAATTCACCAAATGCCATCCAACTTTTCAAAATTCACCAAATGCCACTGACAAACAGTATATTAACACCGCGTGCCATTAATGATGTTTGGACGTCAGTTGGCCGTTAAAGCAATTCTTATTTCATGAAATGCCATTGAGAAGTTTATATATTTCACCAAATGCCATTATTTTTAAGTATTTTTTTCACAAATGACCTGTGTTCATATAAAGTGTAACGACTAGTTTGGTTGACCTTTTTTGAAATTTTTTTTGGGCAAATATAGTTGTTGCACCCCATTTGCTATATATACAGTACACTAAAACTCTCATAGCAGATGTTTTTTGCAAAATCATGAGCTTCATGTCAAACACATCCTCTACAAAACATGAGTATGCGTATGTGAAGGTTCCAAATAAATTTTGCAATTGTGGTAGAAAATATGCAATTAGAAGCTCAGAGTCAACATCAAATCCACAAAGGCTGTATTATAAATGTGATGCATGTGATAGCTTCAAATGGTGCAAGGTTCTGATGCATGAAGAAGGTCAAAGCATGGAAAGTCAGAGCAGGGGAAGCTGTTATGCAAGGGATGGGTCAGGGCAAAGCAATGTACATGAAGAATTGAAACAGTTGAAGAAGAAAATCAAGCAACAGTAGAAAGTCCTCGATTGTATAATGAAATTAGGGGTACTGATGTGTGTAATAGTGATGATTGTAATGTTGAAGTAAACTATTGTATAATTGCAATGAAATTTAATAAAGAGTGAAGTTATATTATGTGTCCAAAATATTACATCCTGTTGAAATCATGTGCCCAAAAGATTGCTTCCTGTTTAATTACAATATTATAGTCAAAAGAAACTAGACAAAACAGCACACACAACACTATCAATGTTCAAAAATTACATGGAGAATCTGGGTGTGCGTTAAAAACAGGAGGAACTGTGCATTCAAGCTGCTCTCTTTGTTCTCTTCTTGGCTTGAGAGGAGGTGGCTGATGTGCTTGCTTCAGTTGTAGCTCTTTTTTTCCTTGATGCACAAGTCAGCTTGTTGTGCCCCAACTCACTGCATAAGCTGCACTTAACTGTTGCATGCCTCTTCCCTTTCCTTGCTTCATTTGGCCCTCTTTTTCTTTGCTTCTTTAGTCTCCCTACACCTCTTTTCACCAATGGTGGCAGTATGTCAGGCAGGTTCCTTGATGGCCATTGTGATGGGTCAGGCATATGGTGCATATGCTCTGCATAAGTCAACTTGTATGCCTTCCCTTTGAAACAGGGGGCTACAAAGTCTGCTGGTTGCAGCCTCTGGTGATAAATGACCCTTAGTACATGTTTTCATGGCAGTCCATAATGCTGCCACTTCCCACAACCACATGTTCCAGTGCTCAGCTTGATGGGAAAATGCACATGTTGGTCTCCCACCTCAAATTCATCCCCACCACAGGGAATAGCATAGCAAAACCTAGACTCATCTGATCTTGTTTGCAGAATCTTGTCTGCATACTCAGCCAGCTACATATCCCCCATGCTTAGTGCTTTGTCAAACCTTGACCCAATCCTCTTCATGCACCATTGTCTTATAGCTTCAAAATAGCATGCAATAACAATAATGTAAACAACATGGATGCAAGTTATCATTGTGTGTATAGCTTCAAAATAGTGTGCAAACAAAATAGTTTAAGTGAATACCTTCAAGTATTTTCAGAACAGGTAAATCTCTATATGGCTTGGTGCATGAGTTGAAAGACTCAACAAAATTTGTTGTGTTATGGTCACAACAGAGTGTAGGATGAAACTTATGCCTTGACCAGACCTCAGTGCAGCTCTCTAGGTACTCAATAGCCTTAGGATTGTACTCTTCAATCTTTTGCATTGCTTTGTTGAATACATACTCATTGTATGCATCAGCTGCTATCCAGAAAAGCTTATGAAAGGCTGAACCACTGAATCCATTAGCCTTGCAGTTCATGTACAGGTGCTGGAAACACACTCTTCTTGTTGCTCTAGGGAATGTTTCATAAATTGCTGTGTCAACCCCCTGCAAACAAAATAGTTTCATGACTGAGATTTCAACATAAGAAACTAAACAGTGAGTGACATGTAATACAACAATATCAAGGTGGATTACCTTTATTCTGTCAGAGATGAAGGTCCAATCATCTCTCCTACAACCTTCTTTCTCAAACAGGCACCTCAAATTCCTGAGAAAATAGCCCCAACTGTCAATACTCTTAGAACCCACCACTCCATATGCAATGAGAAAAATCTCATTGTTCCCATCAATCCCAACAACAGTTAACAAAATTCCCTTGAAATGTCCACTCAGGTGGGCTTCATCAATGCCAATGAATGGCCTGCAGCCTCTCAAGAATCCCCTTACTTGGGCAGCAAAAGAAAAGAAACATCCCTTGAACCTTGGGGGCTCAGTTTCAGTAGCCTCACCCCATGTCACCAGGGCATAACTACCTAGGTTGTTCTGCTTCACCATTTTAGCATACCTAGGCAACACTGAGTAGGCCTCCCCATAACCACCATGGATAATCTCCTTAGACATTGCCCTCACCTTGTACAAGAGTCTTTTCTTCACTTATAGCCTAAACCTTTCCATACAAAGTCTCTGCAAAGATCAACTGGTATGTCAGGATTAGCTTCAATGTCTGACTGAAGATGCCTACACAGCCACTGAGAACTCACAATTGGGTTTATTTCCAACCTCCCACATCTTCTATGCTCCCCTGTCAGAGACTTGATTGCCCAGCTGACCTTGTCTTTCATAGTGGAGGCATGAATCCTCCAGTTGCATGTGTCTATAGCACACCTTGCTATCAATCTTGTTGGGTCACTCTTTTCTACATAAATACCAAACCCTTCTTGTACACAGAAGTCCTTAAACACATCAAGAAATGACTGCCTGTCTCCAAATATCAACCATGGCTCTAATGTTATGGATCCAAACTCTTGATTGGTCCAAATTTTACCATTTTTATATGTTTTGTCCATTGTTGAACTGCCATCTAGGTTATCTTGAAACTGCTTATCTGGAATATCATCATGAAGGCCATCTATTTCTGTTTCATCCTCTAAGAAATCACAGATATCTGCCTCATCATCATCATCTTCACTACTAGATAGTATGTAGTCATCATCACCACTGTCACTACCAAACTCATCACTGTTATCTTCACTGACAGGAACATTTGCAGCACTGTTCCTTGTTTATCTCCTAAAACTAACACCAACCCCCTTACCCTTGCTGGAAGTAGTCTATTTTGACCTAAATCCCTCAGGTCTTGATCTACCCTTTTTTTGCTGGTGCAGATGGTGGAGGTGGGGGTTGATTTTGTACTGGTGTAGCCTATGGTGGTGGGACTGCTGTTGTTTCAGGGGAAGGTTCAGGGGAAGGTGGGGATGTATGTGGTTCATGGGTTGGAGGGGAAGGTTATGGTTTAGGAATTGGTGGGGAGGGTTGTGGTTGAGGAGGGGGTTGGGATCTTCTTTTTTTGGGTGTGGTTTTCTTTTTCCTAGGAGTGATTTTTTTCCTAGTAGATGTCTTCTTGGGCTGGTTCAAAGGAGAGGCTGGTTGAGAGTGTTTTGGTGGAGTTGAGGGTTGTGTACTTTGTTCTGGCTGAGGCTGTGATGCCCCAAGAAATACCTCATCAACTACTGGGGTTGCAAAAACTCTAACATACTCAACAACATTTGACTCCTCTGCATTAACAAAAGGAACCTCAACTGCAACTTGATACTGTTGCTGCTCCATAAGCTCCCTCTTGGCTTCCTGTTCTTCAGCCACCCTCTTGGCCTTTTCCTGTACTATTCTCTCCTTCTCAGCCTTTGCCTTAAGCCTTTTTTCCCAACTTGTTGCAGCATCCCTAAACACCAAACTAGGTCTACCATTCTCCTCTAAGAACACTTGTATTGTCTCCCTACCTTCATACCACTCCCACATTTTCAGCATTTGAGCATCCCTAGTTAACTCAAACTTCCTATTAGTTCTAGGTGGCATTACATACAAACTAAAGTATTTAGGGAGGATCACATTTTGCCTTTCAGAGTCCTCAAACATGTACTCATACAAGTCCATTAGACTTGTTCTGTCAGTATCCTCAATCATCACATCAAACCCCTGATCTTTGTACTGAACATCAAGCCACACTGAACTCATCCTATGAACAACAAATTACTTATTACTACAATGCACATCAACACACATCATTCATATCAACAAACACATATCAACACAAATATCTTGATCAACTCGCAAATTTAAATTTCAACCACCCACATACTATGATAAACACAAACCCTAACAGACCAAAACACACATTGACATATTCATACCCACAATTGCAGTTTTGAACATGATTTTTATCATTATTTCACAAAGGTCAATTCAAATACACACATTGCACTGATCATATCAGAAAACCCTAACCCTAACACAATTTTCGCAAAAATTAACAGAATCGAAAAGAGAAATGAAGATCGACGGATAGATTATTACCTTGCGTGCTATCTCCAAGCCCTCAAAAAAAATTCTGCATTCCCAACTATCTTCAAGTTCTTCAACTACTTGTGCGCGCTTTTGGGTTCGCCCAGAATCAAGAACACTAAAAGCTTCAAACTTGTTGCGAGGATTGTTGTGCAATGGTCCCAGTTTGCTTCTTCGTTGCCCAGAGATTTTAAGGTTTCAATTATGGTGAAATTTCGAAGAACAGGGGAGAAGTTATGGAAGAAGAAGGTCCAACCACAATTGAATAATGAAAAAAGAGAAGTCAGAGAGAGTCAACGTGCTAATGGTGCCATTAAACACTAAAAAGGGTAAAATGGTCTTTTCTCTTTGACGGTCAACTGAAGTCCAGACATCATCAATGGCACGCGGTGTTAATATACTGTTTGTCAGTGGCATTTGGTGAATTTTGAAAAGTTGGATGACATTTGGTGAATTTCGTAATTTGTCAGTGGTATTTGGTGAAATAGCCGGTAAAAAAATATTAAGTACCAAGCTCAAAAACTTTATATGGAATGTCCAAAACGACAAAAAAAGTTATATGAGTATTTAATATCTAAATGTCGAAGTATTCAAAACTTATTATTAAGCATATATATAAAAGATAGAGCATGTATTTGGTTAATCCGTTTCATTTTGAGTTCAGACTCATATAAAAGAGTGTTTTATGATTTATATCTCTCCATTAATCTAATATTACGAATAAAATTACTACATCCTGCTGGACTGCCCGATACCACCCTAATAATTTCTCAACAATATTGCTGGCAGGATCATTCTATAAGATTTTTCATGAGATTTTACAAATCAATTATATTAAGTGTTAAGAACAAGAAGAAGAGGATGATCATACCCTTATTTTTTTTTCCGTTGAAATACTCAGTAGTGATTATCACGTTTAGAGAAAATTATGTACAAGCAATATTAATACTATTATTCCTTATAAAATATATGTACATACTTCGTAGTATTTACATTTAACACCATAGTTACTAGGCTCGTTTCACAAAATATGTTTGTATACCTACATGCAACAATATGTGTTGACCAATACTTTTACCATCAATATGTATAAATTTCATTTTCATTTACGCCATAAAAAAAATAAAAATTAATTTTATACAAAGTTGTAATGCGGAGTATCGAATAATTGCATGAATAATTGCATTTATAGGGGTGTAAATAAACCGAGCCGATTAATAAACTACTCGGGTTCGAGCTCGGTTGAAGCTCGTTTATGTTCGTTTATTTGATAAATGAGCCGAGTTTGAACAAAATTTGAAGCTTGTTTATTAAATGAGCTTGAACACGAACATAGTTATGCTCGTTCAGATAAGTTCATGACTAACCCGTTTATTTACGTTAACGAACTACTTGTTTATTTATGTTCATGAATTATTGATGTATTCACGTTTGTTAATTTAATTCTTATAAGTTTATAATTAAGATTTAATTATTATGCGACTTTTGAGATTTTCAAATGTCAAAAGTACAAAGTTCGATTATTGTAAAAGTTCGTTTATTATTAAACTCGTTCATGAAACACTGTTTAATGAACGAGTTGTTCATGAACCGTTTGTGAACATATATTGTATTAAATGAGCTGAGTTTGAACAGATTTTTGAGCTCGCTTGAAAGCTCGGGATCGTGCTAGAACCCGCCTAAGTTAAATGAACTGAACATAAACAAGGTAGTACTCGGCTCGGCTCGACTCATTTACACCCCTATGCATTTATATTAATCCAACAAAACTTATGTATTTTTTTTTATTGCGGAGTACGGAGTACAAAGTAAAATATAATAATATAAAATCATATTATTGCTGTTTAAGGAAACAAGAATTGAAAATTTATTAATTAACCAAATGTAACAAACAATTCAAGATGGCCGGTATGAATATTAATTACTCCATACGTTATTGCATTTTTATTTACACCAAATGTAAGTTTGTAACCCTTTAAGACAACTTTGTTATCGAAAAGCTCTTTTATGGCTTCTTTTGCTGTTACTTTTTCTTTTTAATGGGATTCTTTTGGTGTACTGGAAAGCAAAGCACCTAAGCAAAATTAGTTAAATACTCAAAAGTCTCCAAAGAAGTAAATCAAGAAAAAAAATAAAAAATACTAACATCCAAAATAAAATAATCAAAATGGAGCACAATGAAGCTCAGAAAACTGTACATTGCATCTAGCTAGACTAAGCTATTTCCTCATGCGGATGCAGTTGTCCGTTTTGACATATCATAATAATAATGTGACAACTAAATCTAAACAGAGGTGTCGTAATGTATACCTACCTCTAAAGAACACAACAAACATATGGATATCTCGAGGGAGAAGAAGAACTAAACGGCGCCATAGCCGGAGTCGCAGCTGCAGCTAGCACTATGAACATCACCATCTTGAGCAGGTTGTGTGCTAAGACAACAACACACAAGACCTAACATCATCATAAACGCCCAAGCTGTTGCCAATGCTTGAATGAAGTTTATGTACTGCTCTTCCATTATAATTTGCTGTTACAAACTTCTGATCATTATATTACATAATCTCTCAAAATATTCTTAATAATAATATCATATAGTACAATTTGGAATGATATTTAATTAATTTACTTAGCTTTTGCTTTTATATTTCTCTCTGTTTTATTATATTCTTCAGCTGGTTTATTTGTGTGCGCAGAAGAAAAGAGTTGTAAGTTATGGTAGGTTTTATTACATGGGCCCATTAAAGAGAATAGAGATGATCGAGCACATGGGATTAAGGATGATTAACAAGGGCCAGGCTGTGTTACGTTAAGGGTAACACAACTATAATAATGTTTATGTCACTTTTATGAATATAATGAGTTTGGCTAAAAGTCTAATGCTTTTACTAAAATATTTGTTTTTCAATAGTCGAACCATTTGAGGGAGGTCGATACATAAATACTTTTTGGGTGGAAATAAAAGATAAATTTTGTACCATCAGAGGATAAGGTGGTAAAATGTATGTGGTTTTACAAAAGTGAGTCAAACATCTATAACACCTTACAATAAGAAGCAA